TAATATCCAAAGTGGCTCTTTTATTTAGTAGTGAGATATTTTTCACTACATTCACATTCAAAGTGAATTTTAGGATTGCATTCGTACTCACCATGCTTAGAATGTTCAACAATAACCAAACCCAGCTCCTTCCCAACAGTTTGAACTCAATGAGACGATGAATCTCAACCACGAAATACCTACATCGTCAGATGTAAAACAAAAGCATAGTTATAAGAAATTGTATTAATAGTTGGAGGTCAATGATAAATTTGGGGTGTGTTTGAGCCACACTATTTTGGAAGAATGTATTTTGAAATAGTAGATTGATGGAGAATGTGTGGTTGAAAAAGAAGGAATATTTATTGATGTGATGGAAAATAATATTTTATTGAAAAGTGTGTGGTTGAAAATGAATAGAAATAGTGGTGACAATGGGTCGAGCCATGCCCGCACGAGCAGAGCTCATGGCTCATAACCTACGAGCCGAGCTTATAGGGTTTTGTGCGAGCTTGTAAAAAATGAGCAGCTCAGCGAGTTCGTGGCTCGTAAGCTCGTGCCCAGCTCGTCTTTTTTTTTTTTAACACTACTCTACTACTAAACTAAACTTGAAATTCAAAATATATATACATATTTTCTAATTTTTTTTGAAATATACATTTTTCAAAACATTTATAATTTTTAAAATAATAAGAAAAAAAAATTATTTGTTAAGTTTTTTTTTTTTTTTGTTTACCATTTTATACTATATTAAAGATTTAAACTTATAAAAAAAAAACCCTCATCCTTTGTCCGGCCTTGGGATCGGTTACTTCAATTTCGAGTGGGCGGAGTTAAAAATTGTACACGAACAACTTGTTACGTGTACAATTTGTTTAAAAAAATTATAAAGGTGCAAATAAAATTTTGTGATGAATGCGGTGAAATTAAATATCACTTACTTGATTGCATGCAATTTCGACATATTTATCTTGAATTCGATAATTAGTGTCTTCTCAGTCCTTCACGCACATTAACACTTCCAAAATATCTTCTTTTTGTCGAATCCTGACCTCAGAGAGAACCATCTTCCTTGTACTAAAAGCAGACTCTGAAACTACAGTGCTAACCGGAGGTGTTAATAGATCTTTTGCATCGCGAATTTAATAACCTCTTCTGAACTTCTCCTAACTGATTTGTTACTAGGCAAAGTATGACTAAAGTAATCAATTAATTCAGATGGCAACGCATTTGGATTAGACGGATTAGTACTCGAAGTTTGAGTACATGCAGTGGAAGTCAAACTACTGCTACTACTAGAGGAACCACATGCATATGCAGTT